CCAATTACAGCATTGTTCCTGATTTCAAACAGCTGACTTACAAATGACCTTTTGGAAATGTTTTATTTGCAAGTAGAGAACTTCCTGTGTTATTAATTTTGAGAATTGAATTTCCCTGATTGGCTGCTTTCCACGCTAATATTACTATTTAAAAGTATTTCCCTGCAGAATAACAATTTTGTAAGAGGTTGCTATGAGTTCTTTATTGGGGAAAAATGTATATATATTTATGATGGACACATGAAAATTATTAACTTTTATCTCTAAGGCTTACCCAACATCCAGTAAGTGTGGTAAAGCTCTGGCACATAAAAATACATTTTATTTTTATTATTTTGAGTCAGAGTTTCAAACTGCTGCCCAGGCTGGCGTGCAGTGGCACACTCACGGCCTATGGCCACCACAGGCAATTTTTCCTCCTCAGTCTTTCAAGTAGCTGGAACTACAGGCGCATGCCACCATGCCTGGCTAATAAAAAGAAATTTTAAAGTTGGTTCCACAATCTCAACAAATTTAAGCCTCATTTCATGGCATAAATTCTAGGTTGGCACTGGGAAAAAAAAGTCCGCAACGGAGGCCGATTCTTTTCCTTCTGCTAGTCATGGATGGCACTATCAGAGTTGCCAAAATGAGCATCAGTCAGCATTCACTCACTCACCCATGCATCCATGCGGCAAGTCCCCCAAGTGAGGCATGGCTGGTGATCCCCGCAGGACAGATTTCAGTCTAGTAAGCTCTTGCCAAGAATTTACAACGCTGCTAATTGCTCCATTCCTTTCTGAAGTCAGTAAGACTGGAAAGTCTTAGGTGAAAGATAACCATCGTGCCAAGATCGGGAAAATAATTATTTAATAAGTATGATATTTTCAACCAGTCTCTACAGATACAGTTGATGGGTTAAGTAAACGAATTAATATGGACTGAGACTTTTTTTTCATCTTTAATGGTTTTTAAAAATTAACATATAAGCCGGGCTCGGTGGCTCAGCCTGTAATCCCAGCACTTTGGGAGGCAGAGGCGAGTGGATTGCCTGAACCCAGGGGTTTCCGACCAGCCTGGGCAACTTGGCAAGACCTCGTTTCTACAATAAATCAAAAAATTAGCCAGGCGTGGTGGCATGTGCCTGTGGTTCTAGCTACTTGGAAGGCTGGGATAGAAGGACTGTCTGAACCCAGTAGGACGAGGCTGTGGTGGCCATGAGCATGCCACTGCACTCCAGCCTGGGCAACAAAGTGAGATGCCAACTCAAAAGAAAAAGAAAGAAAGGAGTTGAAAACCTAGCACACTTCAAAAAAGAAAAAACTTAATTTCTCTTGATGCTTCTTTTAAAATGCCTGAAGGAGAGAAAAGCAAGCAAAAAGAGCTCACAGTTACAGTTACTTTTCAAGGTCACCTAGCTAGTAAGGTTAAGAAAAAGAGATCAGTACAGTATAGGAATCTTTTTCTTCTTTCAAGTTTTAGGTCAAGGCTTTGGCAGTAGGTGTGTGTATCTTCATAAGTATTCTGAAATTTCCCTCCCAATACACTCATTTTGACATAGAGGGAAAGGTAATTATGCACAGAGTCAAGATTCTGTGTATAAAAAGAATATTCTCAGCCGGGCTCGGTGGCTCAGCCTGTAATCTCGTGCTTTGGGAGGCTGAGGTGAGTGGATTGCCTGAGCCTGCTGGTTCGAGACCCGCCAGGGCAGGCAAGACCTCATCTCTACAATAAATAAAAAATTAGCCAGGCATGGTAGCGCGTGCCTGT